CCTCTTAACTGAGGATATTCACATAAAATCCTCAAGAACTGATCTCCTGGCATTCCAAAGGTTTTTAATTACAGATAAACATCAGTATCCAAAGTTTCAGAAAATTATGCAACGACTCTCTTCCTACGGCCTAGATCTCTGTCAAATGTACACTGGTGTGCAAAAATTAAGGACGAAACAGTTTTTTCGATATAACTTGGTACAAAAGCTTTCCAAATCAACACATTTAATACCGTAAGATCCCCAACACGTAAGGACATGAGTAATGTAAGCAACACTTACTAAAAGAGAAATCAGAGGGATAAAAAGAAGCTTTATTGAAAAAAGTAGCATGGAGCGCAATGCGACTGAAGGCCGAAGGCCGAAACATCCCTGTGATGGGTGTCCAGCAAGAAACATCCGGTGTTTAATAGGGGATATGATCTCCCCTGACTGCTAGGCAGGTTTCACAGCGTCTGCCCATGCTGAGAATGAGGGTGTCAATGAGTTGTTGAGGCATTGCTGCCCATTCGTTTTGCAGCGCCAATCGAAGCTCCGGAATCGTTACTGGTCGTAAGGTACGAGCTGCCAAGCGTCTGCCTAGAAAATCCCATAAATGCTCGATGGGATTGAGATCCGGAGATCGTGCCGGCCAATCCCTACGTTCAATATCCTCACTCTCTAAAAGAGAGTTCTGTTCGGCAGCTACTGTGCGATGACATGGTGCATTGTCGTCCATGAAAAAGAACTCCGGACCCATAGCGCCTCTAAAAAGACGCACATATGGAAGAAGAATCTCGTTACAATAACGGGTTCCCGTTGACTGAACCTGCGTCGAAGATGTGAAGGTCTGTACGACTACCAAGCATGATGCCTCCCCAAACGATAACACCGCCACCTCCATACCTGTCCCTTTCAATGATGTTCGAGGGATGATTGCGACTTCCCCGCTCTCTCCAGATGAGTATGCGATGACAATTGCTACTCAGACTGAATCTGCTCTCATCTGTAAAGAGTACTCGTCCCCATTCATTGTCTCTCCAATTCCGGTGTTCCCGGCACCACAGAGAACGCCTTCTCCGATGGGCAGGCGTTAGAGGTACACACCGTACAGGGCGTAGTGCAAACAGACCACCACCGTGCAGTCTTCTGGCCACGGTAAAACGCGATATCGGTCGTCCAGTCGCCTGTGTCGTGTGCCTAGCGCTTTCTCCCGCTATCTGCCGCCTGTTTCTTCTGGCCTGTAAGGCAATATACCGGTCATCTGCGGGTGTGGTTCCTCGTGGACGACCACTACTAAACCCCCGGGTAGCTGTTCCTGTAGTTTGAAATTGTCTCCAAAGTCGTGAAACGATGCTGTGAGCAATTCCGAGCTCTGCAGTCACACTGCAGAACTCTGCAGTCTTGTCACACTGCGGCCTTCCTCCAACTTCCCAATGATTCGACCTCGGGTAAAAGCATCCAGATGTCGTCTAACAGATTGATTATTCGCCATTTCTCGCTGAGGCAGAAACTCGGTGTGATTTTAACTGCTATACGGCGTGCAATCTCTTTGCCAGAAATACTGATCTTACACCAACACATGCTTTATACTACTCAGACACTCCCCCATTACGTCTATCTGCATATCTGCGCATGTGCTGCCGTACATTACCTTACTTAATCTCCTGATTGGTCTTTCTGTCCGCTCTGCCTCTTCGTTCAGCTGATATGCTAATTTTTCGACTTCGTCCTTAATTTTTGCAAACCAGTGTAAGTCCACATACTGCTTTTAGTGAATGGATAAAATGGCTCCCCTCGTGAACTTTATAAACTGCAATAAACCAATATATCTAAAATAACCCTTGGACACCCACTTCTTTAGCATTATTATTACAATTCATTTTAACATTGTGTTGCCAGTACTAATTATAATTATCTCATTATGTTTAGCTGTTTATTAATTATGTTTATCTCGTATTTTTGTTGCACCAAATCAGATGTTCAATTTATCTTGTGAATCTCAAATTGTATTCCGACTATTTTGTAACCTACTTGTATTCCGAGTCTTAACTTCAACTTACTACTACATCATTATTTTAATTAAATACTGGATGCAGGGCGTACTATGGGATTGCACGATGTACCATAATAGACAAACTCTAGATCTTTTGGAAAGATTCATTCTATATAAATTTCTATAAAACTTGCAATTTCCCCCCCTTTTTTTTTCAAGAGTCAGTATGGGAAGGCATTACCAGTTGACCTATGGTACATCGCTGGTATCCCCCATACTTTTACCCTTACCCTTACCCCTCCCCAAGACCGAAGAACTTCGCGGTCAAATACCGCTCTACCTCATTATGTATTGAGATGTGATTCTAAAACTACTTTCTGGCCGGAAGTAGCAAGTTGAAGTTAAGAATCGGCAGGAAAGAAACTTAAAATTTCACTGTTAATAAAATTAACATAATTCTTACAAAGCATACAAAGAATGTTAAAAAAAAATTGTAAAATATATATTTCTAAACTTCTTGGCCAATCTTTATGTAAAAAGTTGGAATGTTGAAAGCATATAAAGAATTTAAAAAATTGTAAAATATATATTTCTAGACTTCTTGGGCAATCACTACGTAAAAAGTTGAAATATTGAAAGCATACAAAGCATATTCAAAAATTTGTAAAATATCTATTTCTAGACTTCTTGGGCAATCACTATGTAAAAAGTTGAAAACTTGAAAGCATACAAAGAATGTTAAAAAAAATTGTAAAATATCTATTTCTAGGCTTCTTGAGAAATCACTATGTAAAAAGTTGAAAAGTTGATACAAAGCATGTTAAAAAATTTGTAAAATATCTATTTTTAGAATTCTTGGGGAATCATTATGTAAAAAGTTGAAATGTTGAAAGCATACAAAGCATGTTCAAAATTTTGTAAAATATCTATTTCTAGACTTCTTGGGAAGTTATTATGTAAAACGGTGAAAACTTGAAAGCATACAAAGAATGTTAAAAGAAATGTAAGATATCTATTTCTAGACTTCTTGAGCAGTCACTATGTACAAAGTTGAAAAGTTGATACAAAGCATGTTAAAAAATATCTAAAGTATCTCTTTCTAAACTTCTTGGGAAATCACCATGTAAAAAGTTGAAAAGTCTCTTTAGCCGTACTTATAAAGTACCCTACTTCCAACAAAAATCTCACTCAGCGTGATTTCATTCTAAAAATAATAAATGAAAAGCACTATCTTTTTAACATCTAATCCTACTTATCTTTAAGGAATAATTTTAAAGCTACTTTTATTTTCATTCTCTGATACATAATTTAATTGCATTAACAATCATGGAAGATCGATATAGTTGCTATAAATTTAATGGCGTGTAACAGAATGGACAATTAATCTATTGGAAAGAATTTTTTTTCAGCTAATTTGCTAGGTACAATGACTGTACGTCAGCGAACCATATATAATGCAGGAATTGTTGCATAATTTAAACATATTTAAATTTTTTCCATGAAAATTGTACATTTTTATATCATTAGTTGTAGTGAGAGACATAAAATCTTTGTCGCGTGACGTTGTCGCACAGAAATATTTCCTTATTATTATCTTACTCCCTTCCTTAATATTATACCCATTTTTCGCACGAGGATAAAGTGCACTATTTTCAGATGATGCACAAAGTGTTGAGAAAATTCCATAAAAATGAAACAAAAATCAACAGTGGGAAAGAACCAAAACTATATTACCACTATATTACCGAAATGCTTCTTTTTTGGAGGAATAGGAAGTTTCATAAATTAACTCCCGGCACTCACATATCTTCATTTTCAAACGGCAAACTTGTGCACTTATTTTATTTCTAAAAAATATGTCAAATGGACTTTGTTAATTCTTCGCTTAGAATGCAGGCACCGCATTTCTGGGAGTAGGGGCTACAGGCATGACGAAAGGCCCCCCCTCCAGAAAAATCAAGACTTTTTTTTTAATAATCATCAGTTTAATGAAATGCTGTGTTAGCAGTAAAATGGCATAATAGCAGTCATTAATTGAAGGAAACATATTCATTAAATTGAAAGATTAAATCAAATATAGCTGTAGAGACATTGGGTTAATTGGAAACGCCGGAGAGATGAAAAATTAGCAACCGCCTTCGCCGCGAATCGAACCAAGGATCTCTAGAATTCCGGCCCAGCGTGCAAAACCGCTACACCATGAAGGCATGCTGGGAAAGCGGGAGAAATACCTTATATATTCCCCCTTTTAAAGGGCGAATGGGGTTTCTATGGGACCCAATCGCCAAATTCTGGGTGAGGAGAGTGATTCGGCATCAAGTCTGGCGGTTATGGCAAGTCAAAACAGCCGGAGTCCTTTGGTATACCAAATTCAGAAACAGCTTCTGACAATGCCTATTTCGCAAAGACCCACTTTAAAATGGTTTCCCGTTCACACAGGGATTCAAGGCAATGAAGCCGCTGACCTACTGGCCAAGCAGGCAGCCAACTGCACGGATATATTAGAAAGACCGACTAAACTTCCTTGGTCTCATATTATTAAGCGAACAACTTTGACAAGTCTGCTACAAAATGGCAAGTAGATGGACAGAGGTAGGATGAAGGACTTTCGAAGGACATTTCCTTACTGCCAAAAGTTAACATGGAAATAAAGACCCGCTGTGCTAGCCTAACACAGTTCTTGACAGGTCATGGACCATTCCCAGTATACCTGAACAGATTCAGACTTAGGGATACTCCTTTCTGCGAATGCGGAGTGGAAGGCGACACGGACCATTATTACTTCCATTATGTACATACAAGAACCTGGCGCGTGAAGAAACCAGCGGACTTTGCCTGGACAATGTGGACGTCTAACACACTCAAAAACAGAATAACCCTTGATAAAATAGAGAAAATCCCAAGACATTGCCTAAGCAGAAACAACCGTGAATAATATTATGTTTCAAATGTTCAGAACTTAAAGCAGATAACCAGAATAACGCTTAGTGCCTCTGCAGTTATCAATATGTAAAAACTATAATATTCAACCTTGTTACTTTGGAGTCTTCTCCGCCGTGATGGTATATAATTCCGTTTGGTTCATGTCCGTGGTCGGAAGCCATCATAGCGGTGCATTCACTCACTCATCATCCAACAGCCTTTTAGTTCGGGGGCCACTGTAGAGACATTCGGTATTTTGGGGAGCAGGAAAGATGAAAAATGAGCAACGCCTTCGCCGGGAATCGAACACGGTCCTCTGGAATACCGGCCCAGAGTGCAGAACCACTACACCACGAAGGCACGCTAGGAAAGCGGGAAAAATACCTTATATAGCAAACATAAAAACTTAATTAATAAAATAATAAAAATGGTATTAAAAGAGAAGTGCATCCTGTAAAACAAAATAATGTTGTGCATAGCAATAAAATCGAAATGAAATTGCAAGAATTATTGCAAATGTAAACTGGCTTGGATAAAGTCCAAAAGATGAACTGCTGCAACTCAAAAGAAAAGGAATTTAAATGATAAAGAAAGCAAGGCGGTAATTTTCAAAGTAAAATAAAAAGCATTAAGTATGTTTGTAGAGAAAATGCCTTTAACTAAATACAACTATGGCAAATTCTCACCGAGAATGTAAGCTATTTATCGCTGTGCCTAATATGAAACAGAAATTTAAGAATGATGTAAAAAAACCATTTTATTTCAAACTAAGTAAGTTGAACAGAAGACAAACCTGGTACCTACAAATCAGCTAGCATTTCTCTTGTGAACTCAAGTTAGAATTTTTAACATAAAATTAAATCTAAGTATCTATCAGTTACACGGAGATATACACGAAAGTTGGCTCTTAAGCTTACCCCGACGTAAAAGTTCTATAGGCAATAATAAAGCAAAGCCAACGACAGGAATTCTTATCTTAGAACAGCAGCTATTAACGTGGCTTTTAGCAGGCAGAACACGCCCTTTCTTAACAATCTCAAGCTCTCACTTAAATACGCGCGAGCTTATTTTGAATTTTGAAGACTCTACTCGGAAGGGCGCATGAATATATTTAGAGAATGTATATCAAGTGTGCTAGCTCTATGCCTTTTTGTTTGTGCCTTTTGGGATAGTTACATATACGCACCTGCACAATCTATATGAAAACTCTTTCTGTTATTAATAAACTACTATCAGACAATGTTGAAATGCGGATCCATGAAAAGGTAACTTCATTTTCAGATTTTAATTTGTATCGTCATTTCAACGTCATTATTAAAAACTATGAAAGTTATCTTTTTCTTAAAGAGATTAACTGTTGAACTTTTCTAGAGCTTAAAACCACGCATTTGGTTTTAAAAAGTAATAAATTCACTCTTATTTTCAACAGAAAATTTAATATAATATTTTTAAAACAGGCTATGAAAAATATTTACCATCAGATGAGCAGCTGCACCGCCTTTAAAACATTCAGCTTTTACACTCAACTGATGGAATCGTCAACCAACTGTGTTGTTATGTAAAATACAATAAAATTTTAGAATTTCGATAAGTACATAATAAAAATGAAATATCAAACAAATATATAAATAATACAATAAATAATAAACATAAATAGATACCATAAATAAAAGTTAAAAATTTAGAATAAGATAAATACAATTTGTTATATATGAAGTCAAATAAAGTATCAGAATTTTGAGAATTATCTATATTTATCAAATATATATTTTATGAAAATAGATATTTATTATATATATATTTAAAATTATATCTATTTCTGAAAAATTATATATATTTATGAAAAATATTCATATTTACCAAAATCTTCGCTTGTAGCTGTAGCTAAAAATTATTGCATCTATAGTACTGTGATGCAAATTTTATAACTTCAGACCTTTTTGTGACTTGTACATTTAATTAGATAATAGTATGCAAGGTGAACGAGTGAACGACCTATGAAATAGGACAGAGTATGTAGCTTCAGAAACTGAAAGCAAGCGTAATGTGTGTCAAAAAAACACAAAATATGTTTTAAAATTTTTACGCACCCGATGAAAAAAAGTAAATGGGTAACATTTGAGATTTTCTATGCTTCCGTCTTAAATGGTGTCACAAAAAATTATTATTGCCGTAAACCAGCGCTAACGAAAGGAAAATAAACAAAGATTAGCTAATAAGTACTCGTAATTGAGTTCACGTCCATTTCTCGTAGTGCCACAGGGCAACGAAACTGAGCACCCAGCATGTGTATGTACGATCACAGCATCTGAATTAATTCATGAATATTCTGCTCGAAATTAGTAAACCACTCACCAGTGAGTTAAGTGATCTTATTGCATCATTTTTATGTATTCAAATTCTTGTAGAAGCAAACATGTACCGGTCGAAATTTATGACTCCGGAAAGGATGCGAAATGGTTACATTAAGTATCATGATGCCTGACATTAAAAGTAAAGCTTCGAATGCGTACAAGTCAAAAAATTATACACTCTGTTTATTCATGAACTTAAGGTTAAACCATAAAAGAAAAGGAAATCCAAAAGACCAAGAACAAAAGTTAAGAGAAAAAAAAAAAAAGTCTGAAAGGTTTCAGATTTTAAATTACGTCGAAATGGGCGTTTTTTAACGTTGTGTGTGTTACCTTTATTTATTTAATATCATATTCTTTGCACTCAAACTAAATTCAGTTCAACAGCAATCGAAAATAATTTTAAATGACCTATCTTAAATTTCCATACAGACCTCGCGCTTTGGGATATTTTTATCCAAAGGGATTTGAATCCCGAAGGACTATTAGTTTCGTTTTGGCATTTTGCGTCGGACGGATAAATGTCGGTTCACTTTTCAAACTGTTGCCATAAAATGTTAGAGTCCTGCATTATATTTGAAGAAATTAAATAATGAAAATCTGCGTAAATGTATGTATATTTCTCACATTGTCATAAAATAACGGTACATAGAGTCATCGAATTTTGAATAACGTAATCCTCCAACGAATATGAGCATGTGGAAGACCAAATTTGAAATTTGAAATTTGTTTTATGATCGATTTCCTATTTTTTAAAACTTTGACGAATTTTTTTGATTAACAAACTCAAGGATTTCAAAGCGAGCAATGGCAACGTTGTGCAGAAAAAACATTTTTATCTCCAGCGCGTGAGTCTCTGTATCGGAAATTCTAAAGATATGCTCGTTTTAAAACTATTTTGCGATATTGCTGTTGCACTGGATCTTATGGTTTAAGTGCGAGGAACATGATATTTAATAAAGAAAGGTAACACACAAAATGTTAAAAAAACGCCCCTTTGGACGTAATTTAAAATCTGAAACATTTCAGATTTTTTTTTTTTTTTTACAGTGTTGCTTTTCGCATTGAAATGTTAGTTTGTTATCAAATTCGTTGTGTACAAATATGAAATCAATATTAAAAAAAAATTAAATTAGGGCTTCCACATGGCCATATTCTATGGGAGATTACGTTATTCAAATTTTGATGCCTTTAGTACCTTTGTTTTATTATGATGCGAGAAACATACATACATTCACGCAGATTCTTCATTATTTAATTTCTTTAAATGTAATATAGTGCTCTAATATTTCTGGCAGCAGCTTGAAAAGTGAAACAACGCTTATCGTGAATCGAAGCAAAATGTTATTACTAAACAGCAAATTAATAAAGCAATTTCACACGTGTTGACAACTGCATGATGTGAAATTTCAGCGCAAGTTGAATAAGTAATGTACAAATAGAAGCATGAATCAATGCTCAAAGTAATGTAATTTTGTGTGATTCAAGTGATAGCAATCATTAAAGTAGTAGCAATCATTAAAAATAGGCAAGCAAATTAATAACAACTTTACTTTTTGTTTTGTTATTTATTTGTTTTGTTATTTTTGTTTTCAATTATTTTCCTACGGAAAAAAGAAATGTTTGTTAATGACTTCGAAATAACTACTTTAGTTTTCCTCTTAATTATTATAAAAATAAAAGTTATGTCTATATTGCAATAAATGCTGCATTATGTTTTGCGGTAAGATACATTTTTGATCTTGAAATCATACAAATTATGTGACTGCTTGATCATGATTAAAAAGAAAAAAATATTGTATACTTTCGATTTATTTTTAAATTAAATAACACCATCGAAATTATATTTCAATTTCAATTCTGAATTACGTGACTTGTCTTTGGATGGTAAAGGTTTAAATAAATGGTCCCTTTCCTAAATTTTTTGCGTGCTTTCATTTTTTAGTATATCGAACAATGTAAAATGTCACATTTTAGTTTTTGAGAAGGATGAAATTACATCACTCTGGAATGACATGAGACGTACAATGCAGACGGAGTAACAGATATCGCGAACTCTTAGAAAAACCATAAAAATCCTTGGATAAACACAATATGTCTTTATTACTTGATGATTAAACATTTCAAACATCATGTTGAGTAGTACTACACAGTGGGGGCGATCTGCTCTCCAAAAGTTTTAACTGCGTTCTCACTTCGTCTTTTTTTTTTTTTTTTCTTTTTTAAGAACAGAGAAAGAGGCTGAAGCAAGAGACGTGGTTTTCTTCAAGCTGGCTAGGAAAAGGTGATGCGTATTAACTGCGGTCATATTTATACTATATAAAATCTTTGTTTCAATCCTCAACAGCGATTAGATTAAAGATTTCGCAGTGCCAACCGCAGGGAAAGAGTGTCTAAAAATGCTGCAAAGTCTATTGTTGAAGCGGGGATGTGTTTAATAAAAGTTTAAGAATTAAGATGTATTGCCAGTTGGTTCTAATTAAGTTTAATAATTTTTTTTTCAGATTTTATATTTTACATACACACACACACACACACACACATATATATATATATATATATATAAACATAAAGCATCTAGTTGAAACTAGTTGAAAGTTCTTACATCATCTAGTTGAAAGTTCTTACATTGAAAGTAAATTGGAGTCAAAGCAAGGCAATTCCTCAACAATATTAATAATTACATCCTTATAAAACTCGAAAACTAAAAATGCCAAAAGGGGGAGAAATATGTACAAGATAATAAAAATATAAAAATTAATCTCCCTTTATTGAACTTTTAATTCAGGACTCCTCAAGGGAAAATGAATTAAAGCTTGTTGATTAGTATGCTTCGAAAACGTGTTTCGTTCTCCTGGTAAATTTGATATCAAAAACAAAACAAAAAAAAAAAAAAAAAAAATTTATATTACATAAAACCCGAAAAAAATCAGTCTCAAATATACCAGGATTTTCGCTACACGCCTTCGAAACACTTGGAAAAAAGAATAAAACATAACACTGTTTCAAATTGACTACAAAAAAGCCAAAACATTACATGTTGTAAAATGACCATTCGAAAACAAAAAAATTGGTCTAAAAACATCATATAAAAATCCGAAATTCAAATTCAAATATAAAGATAGATCAGAATATTAAGTATACTTTAAACAGTATTCTAAAAATGGGCGGTCCCCGATTCTGTTTAACTAAACTTTTAATTCCAAGAAAGCGAATTTATGCATACAGATTGCATAAATAATGTAATCAAACCTAAGCCTATTTCATCAAAAAACTGAAAGTCTAATAAAAACAAAATTAAAAGAACCTATAGTATATAAATTTGAGGTTCTTTCAATTTTAGTGAATTAAATTAGCAATACCTTTTATTTTGATACTTGCACTTGATTTACATATCCTCTCAGAATTTAAATGATATTTTATATTAGTTCGCAGCAATAATTCATCATTTATTTGTAATTCAATTTCATTTAAAATTTAATTAACTTTAAATTTGCTTTTTACGAATAGAAAATGTTTGTTAAATTCAAATTTATATTACATACTATATATACATAGATAGATTGATATATATAGAGAGATAGACAGACCAATAGATAGATGGATAGATAGATAGATATAGATAAATATAAATAGATCAATAGATAGATATAGATATATAAATTATCGATATATATATATATACAGATATAGCTATATAGATAGATTAGATATATAGATTATCGATAGATATATATAGCTATGTAGATAGATTAGATATTAGATAGATATGGACAGATAGATAGAATTAATATGAATCCAAAATTGTGAACTATGAAACAAGAAGGCACAAATAAAGTTAGCTTTCTCGGTCGACCTTTTATAACCTTCGTTTCAATCCAATTTTCTTCTTTAAAGCGTTTTATCACACACTGCACTATATAATGGGATAAATTAACTAATTTAGCGATATATCGAATTGATTTACCACTACTACGGTGAAAAAATATCAATTTTCGAATGCTGTTTGTAATTTCTTTCCGACTGCCACCCATTTTTCAATAATAAATAAAATATTATGAAGTAAATAATAAAAACCTAAAGCAAATGATTTTTTTTAAATGCCACCACAATGTAAAAATTAAAAAAAGCGCAAACGATAATTCGAATTTCGATTTTATCCAAAAATATTTCAGTGTACGAAGACTTTTGTGAGATAAAATGTTTGTCATTTTTTGATTATTAATTTCTTAAAAATAAAGTTTCGCTATATTTAAAAATTATTTCATGTAATTTTGTTACGAATAGATTATAGATATTATTATTAAAATCTCATTCAGAAAGTTTTACTTTTAATTAATGGATAGAGCCCTATTTCTATGAAAATCATAAGTGTACGAACACTTTTGGGAGCCACTGTATGTATATATATTCACTCTGTTAACCGGCTCAGTGATCTCAGTTTCTTTACTCTTATATGTTTGTAAGTTGTGCATTTTTTGGATTAAAAGTGATTAAATTATGTTGTTCTTATCTTCCGGTTAAGGTTTTTATGCCTTTAGTAAATCTGCATGCAATACTTGTGGAGTTATCAACAATTTAAAAGTTTTTTAAGGCCTAAAGAATTTTGCGATGGCGGGCATGTTTGTTTACATTTTAAACTTGGCAAAAT